AAAACAGTAGAAATTGTTAATCTAACAGTAGAAATTGTTAATAAAACAGTAGAAATTGTTAATAAAACAGTAGAAATTGTTAATCTAACGGTAGAAATTGTTAATAAAACAGTAGAAATTGTTAATAAAACAGTAGAAATTGTTAATAAAACAGTGGAAATTGTTAATCTAACAGTAGAAATTGTTAATAAAACAGTAGAAATTGTTAATAAAACAGTGGAAATTGTTAATAAATCTTTTCTTTTTCATATTATTCTGAAAGGAGTATACATAATCCATTTTGGAAAAGTTAGTTTATAAGATAATCCTCAGCAAACGTTTGTATTTAATACATTACTGTATTGGTAATGTGAGTTTAAGTGTGTTGGTATATATATAACACATTACAATATTATATGGGTAATTTTGATGGATTGTAGAGAAAATATCATAAATGGTAAGAGCAACTAATTATGAGATGTTATTTCGGTGGGCCTTAATGGTAGTTTGAAAATTCATTTTTAATTTGTTTTACTCATTAAAATGAGCAGTAACAGTTTAATTTATATTAGTGTTAACTTGTTTCATAAGTCTACAAGCAAGATGTTAGTTTGATATGTTTGTTCCAAAGATGTTTCCATCCTTTCATTTCCTAGACAACTTTCCACTCTTCTGTTTCTCATGTTTGATTAAGTCTTGATTAATTATAGTGGCGAACTTTCAGAAGACCGACATACTTCCAAGTTAATATTTAATTTGTTTACTGTAGATACAACGTGTTTTCTGTTCGTTTTAACATGTATCAAACTGTAATGTAGATGCATCACAGAACCAACAGTTTTATCCAAGGAGCCAAACATCTCCAGTTCTAAAGAGGTTCGCAACAAATTTGAAGCTTTCAAATTCCCGAAAGATCCTATTGTTAAATTTCGTGCTACCGTTCGTTTCTGTTTGGATCAGTGTGAGCCGGTAGGTGTCGATACTTTAAATTACTTTATTGTTTTAAGTTTTTAACCATTTGATGAATTTCAAAATTTTACTTATTAATCATCAACTAGTATAATTAGACTGTAAGAATAAAAAAAATCATGTTAGTGAATAGATAAAATATTTCATATTACCGTTCATTTCTATTTGGATCACTTTGAATCGATAGATGTCACCACTTTAAGTGACTTTGATGTTTTTGTCTTTCACAATAACATGGATTACTCGTTAATCGTATTACTATTTTAATAAGATTGTAAGAACAATTCATGCTACTGAATAGATAAGATCAGCGAAAACATGTATAATATTTTTTAAGCTTACAAGCTTATGTTTATTAGTTACTGTAAGACTGTAGAACACTATTCAATTTAAATGCCATCATTCAAACCTGAAGTCATGCAACTACAGGAATTCAACATTTAGTTATAGATAAAAGTTATTCTTGGAAAGATGTGGCTACTTATTTTGTGATTTTTCTATCGTTTTATCCCAACTTTTTTGTGTACTTTTTGTCATTGTCATCTCTACATCATAAATAATTTGTATTACTTGTTGCATGTTGTTTTGATTTTACTTTTTTAAACTTAACGTTAATACTTACATCTGTAAAATATTTTAGTACTCGATTCAGTGGTTCCAATTTTTTAAAAACTTTTCAGGCCGACTGTTTATCAGGCGATAGACTTGGATACGGAAGAAGGAAGAGACAAGCCGATTCAGCAGACGAGATACCAACAGACGTACCACTTCAAACGGTTCTTATAATTAGTGATCACGAGCAAACACAAGAGGACGTGGAAGTTGCAGGTGAAAATATCCATATTTTGTTTCTTAAACAAACTTTGCTGTAATGTGTGAACTTTATTTAATTTAATTAACCAGTTAGACAAGTATTTTTTAAGATTGCCAAATAACTTTGGAGTTTGGATTGAAAACCCATTCACATTTTGCTAGCTATTTAAATGTGTGAATTATTTTTTCTGTTTTAATGAAGAAAGACTAGTTCTACACAAATTGTTTTATTGTTTATATTTAGCTGTCGTGGCTTCTCAAGAAGACTGTTTTACTAGATTACATCTCGTTCTAATTGCTGTTGGTGCCGGTGCTCTCCAATTGATTACCATCGCTGTCTGTGTTACCCACGTCTGCTGTCTGCGCAAGCGCCATCTGAAGAAATGCCTAAGATCGTTGGATAATACATCATCCAACTCCAGCGTAACAGGATCTTTCGTTTATGACGTTTTCCAGAAAAAGAATAATGGTGGGCGATAAAGCGAACACAGGCGATCAAGTGGAACTTTATACCAACCACATCCTAAGGACTCTTTCAATAATAATACTAGTTATAATTTTCCTAGACTAATTTTCACGCCCACGCTAAACTATATAAGTAAACGCAGAATTTTCGACTGGGTAAGGTGTAAAATGGGATATTGTGCAGATTATATTTATAGGTTGGTGCCTTTTTCTCTGCTTTTTTTTACTCAGATTGTACCCTATGAAACACTTCAAGTTACTTAAATGGCACTTAACTAACCCTTAACCTGCAGCATGTATCTTAAGAAACACTTCAAGTTACTTACATGACACTTAACTAACCCTTAACCTGCAGCATGTATTTTAAGAAACAGTTCAACTTATATGACATTTAACTAACCCTTATCCTGCAGCATGTATCTTAAGAAATATTCAAGTTACTTACATGACACTTAACTAACCCTTAACCTGCAGCACGTATTTTAAGAAACAGTTCAACTTATATGACATTTAACTAACCCTTAACCTGCAGCATGTATCTTAAGAAACACTTCGATTTATATGATATGTGACTAACCCTTAACCTGCAGAGTGTATCTTAAGAAATACTTCGAATTATATGACACGTGACTAACCCTTAACCTCCAGAGTATAATTTAAGAAACACTTCGATTTATATGACACGTGACTAACCCTTAACCTGCAGAGTATAGCTTAAGAAACACTTCAATTTATATAACACATGACTAACTCTTAACCTGCAGAGTGGATCTTAAGAAACTCTTCAAGTTATTCATGCATAACTAACCCTTAACCTCTAGGGTATATGTTAAGGAACACTTGAAGTTCATTCCAAACTTAAAGCCTACACTCATTCGTTAGTAATATTGATTAAAGTGTTGCTTGTCGTTCTTATTACACTGTTGCTATTCAACTAAATAGTGTCAATTACTGACACCAGGGGAATTTGTATTTATTCACAATTAAACAATAATTTTCAAATTATCATTTGCTATGTGGATGTTGAGAAAATCAAAAGAATAGATTCTGTATTTATCTTGTAACAAGTTAGTTAGCCTAGAACAAATTCATATTCTTTGGAAGGTTGTCCATTTTGTTTATTATTGCAATAAAATCCAGTGTTAGAATTTGCTAGTTTCTTACCTTACGATGATGTTACATTGTTTGGATGTTAGCTACCGTTTCCAGTATTTTATTATAATCACATTGTTGGAATTTGCTAGTTTCTTACCTTACGACGATGTTACATTGTTTGGATGTTAGCTACCGTTTCCAGTGTTTTATTATAATCACATTGTTGGAATTTGCTAGTTTCTTACCCTACGACGCTGTTACATTGTTTGGATGTTAGCGACCGTTTCCAGTATTTTATTATAATCACATTGTTGGAATTTGCTAGTTTCTTACCTTACGATGATGTTACATTGTTTGGATGTTAGCTACCGTTTCCAGTATTTTATTATAACTAGATTGTTGGAATTTGCTAGTTTCTTACCCTACGACGATGTTACATTATTTGGATGTTAGCTACCGTTTCCAGTATTTTATTATACATCGTCCCTATATATCCAGTTCTCCTTCATTAAAAGTTACTTTTAATATTTCTATAAACATAACTAAGTATCTAAGTGATTATGATGACTGGATCAAAATAGAGCAATTCAGTAAACTTTGAAATATTTACAACGGTTTATGAGTATTGTGGGCGGTAACATGTAAGAGTCTACACGAGTCATAGATAGCTGGATTATAGAATTCTAATATTTTACCGTTAGCTCAAAAATGTTAGACTTCTGAGTCATGCGGAAAGAAAAACGCAATAATTTTATCAACTTTTTTTTTTGTTAAAACTTCATATTGAAGCATTTTGTCTCAAAATATGAAGTTTGCTCATTTGTAGAAACATCTAAAACTATGTAAGACCCACAATATTCAAACAATTAAGAGAGGCAGGCGATGTGTTGGAAACTGTTAATCATAAATTAAATGAGTGATAAATATTATGCAATAAAGAACCAAAAGAAGAAATTATCGAATAAATATGGCTTGAAAGTTAGAATCAGATGATAGAGAAGAAGCAGAAAAATTAGATCTATGGAGATCTAGACTCAGATGACAGGAAAAATCATAAAAAGGAACTAAAGAATAAATGAGGCTTAAGAAAGTAAAGTCTGATGGTGGAAAAGAAAAGGAAGAAGGATTGAATGAATTTCTAAAGATGCTAATTTATGTGAAAACTATAATTAAATTAAAATTTATGAGATAATAAATAAGTAATCTCACAATATATGAAAAGTGTCTTAAAAACATGAGTCCTATAATGGCCAGAAATACTAAACTGTGAAGAACTTCAAGCTTACTAAACAGCAACTTAACATAGAGAGCAAGTCATATGATAATATAAAGCTTTGAGAATTTTTTTATCCTGCCTTGTATTCAGCTATAAAAACATGTAAAATGTATGTTTATAATATACCTCTTTGTCTTTAGTTTCAAATTAAAAAGCTTAGAATTTATTTCCATGTAAATTATTTGGTCCTCAAATATCTAAAAACACCATACCAACATTATATAATTATAAAGGTGTGTCTCCATCTACAACTATACCAACATTATATAATTATAAAGGTTAGTCTCCATCTAAAATAGAGACACACCTTTATAATTATATAATGTTGGTATAGTGTTACAACTATACCAACATTATATAATTATAAAGGTGTGTCTCCATCTAAACACTATACCAACATTATATAATTATAAAGGAGTTTCTCCATCTAAGCACTATACCAACATTATATAATTATAACGGTGTGTCTCTATCTAAACACTATATCAACAATATATAATTATAAAGGAGTGTCTCCATCTAAGCACTATACCAACATTATATAATTATAAAGGTGTGTCTCCATAAAATGTAAAGTTTATGTAATCATGTTGACCATTACTACAGACGACAGACTTTACCAACTGTTCATTAATTCATGTATTATAAGTTGTCACTGATTTATCAATACATATTTTTAGTTTGTATTCTTTAGGTTTTTCCTCACTGAGACCTGCCACATCTTGTTTACAAATTTCTCTAATGATGTAATAAATGCATTTCGAAACGTACGATGAAACATGTAAATAAAATATTTTTTTATTCTTTCAGCAGTGTTTGTATTCATTGGTAGGGTTTTGTTATATATATATTTGTAATTAATATTACCTTACTTACACGTACAGAAAGAAGAAAAAAGGTTCACCTTTCGAAAGCGCTCGGGTTATAAGATTTTTATTAATTTCTATCAAGATTTCTTAAACCTACGTGTTTTTCTAACATCATGACTTTACATACACAGACATCACTGTAACTGATACTCGTAGAGAAACGAACGAGACAAATCGTAAAAAGGTAGTTTTATGATTACTTTCCTACAACACATATTTATTTGTGTGCTTGACAAAAGATGGCGTTTGAAAAGTAAACGCCAGGTGGC